GATTTCATCGGCCATACGATGACAGCAACAGTACACGGTCCCATTCTGATTGACTTCATGGGCCATACGATGGCAGCAACAGTACACGGTCCCATTCTGATTGATTTCATCGGCCATACGATGACAGCAACAGTACACGATCCCATTCTGATTGACTTCGTGGGCCTTACGATGACAACAGCTTATACGAGTCTCTGAAGAAGATGAAGTGGGGCAGAAACCGTTAGTTTCCTTGCGTAAAGTCTTAACTTAGTGCAGCAGTAGAATGACGGATTCGAGTTCCTGTGGCAGCGTAGAGGTCTGAAATAATTCTTATCGTTGTCACTTCACAGATTCTATGCATTGACAATAACAGAAACAGCCTTCGGATGCAGTTGTTGCTGTTGGTTTATCTTGACCAGTCTTTTTACTAACTGATTTACCACTTAAAATGCAGTCAGTCGTTCTTGAGGGATATTTTGATTTTGAGTGTTCTCCATTTGCGCTTCCCCCCCTTCTCGAGTCTTTTGTACTTAAATAATGCGTTTGAGTCATAATTAATGAATGCATATTGCTCGCAGAAATTATATAACTAGACTAAAACAACGCTTGAATTCCAACACGTCTTTATTGCGCAATAGGTTGTCAATCGGCTAATTCGCAGTTTTTCATGCTGCAAGCTGTGCGCTGTTTGCTTTCAATTTGCAAATAATTACATCATTGGACAAACTTAGGAAACTTCACCAGATTATGCTAGTAATTTCAGATTATCCTTTAATTTTGTCGAGCATTGTAAAGTCTTCCTCCCTCCTCCTGAAAACGTGACTTCATGGTGTAATTACAGAGTACGTCAGGTAAGCAAAGGTGAAGTCCGAAGTTCCAGCGATGATACTGTACATTTTTCCAGCGATGATACTGTACATTTTCCAGCGTACATTTTTCCAGCGAAGTTCCAGCGATGATACTGTGCATTTTGATACTGTACATTTTTCACGTCTCCTGCTTCAAAGTAAATTGACTAATGATTTTTACAAGTGTTATCTGAACTAAAAAGTGGTGGAAGATAATTCATCACCACTAAAGTTTGGCGCTTGGGTTCAGGCGTCGCCAGTCGCTCTTTAAATGGGTGAGAAGGTAAGGTTTTTCTCCGTCTTTACTGCATGCTTTGGTGGTGTAATTGGAAAGCAAGTCCGGTTAGCAATCGAAGCCCTGGAGCTCGAGTCCCGGCGTCGGCGTTGTACATTTTTCAAGTCTCCTGCTCCAAAACAAAATGCCTAACGGTTTCTGCAACTATGGATACTGATAGTGCACTGAAATAGCTGAAGCGATCTTAAATTACTCCTACCATGCACTGATCCTTGCAACATCAAAAAACAGCCAGGAAGGAAACCGTTTCTCAACATCGTAAATTAGCTAATTTTCCTGCTTTGCGTAGTTTGAAAATGTCTCAGGATTTTGTGCAACATTTTTTATTATTGTCATTATTTTCTTTTTCCCAAATCTAACTTTTGTTGAAGAAAATGTCTCTTCTTCTTTAAAACTTGAATTGTCGATGACTGTATATTTTTCTTTTTTGGCCTTTTTTCTTATAAGGTATCTGCACGTTGGACCGGTATTCCAGAGGTCCGTGGTTCAATTCCCGGCGAAGACGGTGGCTAATTTTTCATCTCTCCGGCTTCTAAAGAATAACCTAATGTCTCTACAGTGGCGCCCGAACTAAAAGGGTGTTGGATGAGGTTTCTCCACACCCACGATTTGGCGAGTGGGTCCCCTGAAAACCCCAGTCGCCCTTTAAAAAGGAGCGTATGTAAGGTATTTCTCCCACTTTCCTAGCGTGCCTTCGTGGTGTAGCGGTTCTGCACGCTGGACCGGTATTCCAGAGGTCCGTGGTTCGATTCCCGGCAAAGGCGTTTGCTATTTTTCATCTTGCCTGCTTCCAAAAATACCTAATGTCTCTATTCTTCATACATTTCTTTATAGCAACGAATTGCACTGGTTATCATTCCATGAATAAATTTTCAATATTGGGATCAATATTGTGACAATGTTTCAATCATTCCAATAATTTTTTATGTTCGTTTAGCTGTTAATTCTTGTGCAGCTGGTAATTCTTGTGTTTAGCTGTTAATTCTTGTCAACAACAGAGTCGTTGTCTACATCACCTTCCGTTCTTCGAAAACACGTTTTTCATCTTTATTAACAAGTGTTTCATTATCTAATTCTAGTTCATTAAGTGTTCGCTATGATGCACTTTAGCTACACTGATGAAATCTGACTCACTAAAACAAGTTACTATTCAGTTAACTGATTTAATTTCAAGAATTTAACTCTTCCTTCTACTGCATATATTTTTAAATATAGTTAGTTTTCTGGAACGTTTTGTATTTAGTGGTAAGATATAGTTATGTTAAATTGCTGCATTTTATGGTATCCTATTTATTCTATTATACTCTTTCTTAAAGGGGGGTGCTTTCTTCTTTCCAAAATAACGGAGAAAGTAGTGTTTCATAATAAACAGTAATGAAATATAGTGTTGACTAGCAAACAAAAACTGCGGAAAAAGGGAATTAAAGTTTTGAAATATTTGGAGTATATGGAAGAATTAAATTTTGGATATTAAGGATACCAATCCTTCCTTTCACCATGTACATATATACGGTATATTCTCCCTCCTTTCTTCATGCCTTCGTGGTGTAACGGTAGCACACTCGGCGGATATTCGAAAGGTCCAGGTTCGAGTCCCGGCAAAGGCATTGCTTATTTTTCATGCCTTCTGCTATATATATATATATAAAAATTGTGTCTCTACAGTGGCGCCCGAACTAAAAGATGGTGGATAATGATTCTTCACCACCAGGACTTGGCGACTCGGTCATCTAATCTCCAGTCGTTCTTTAAAAGCAATAGTATATAAGGTATTTTCTCACCCCTTTCTGCATGCCTTCGTGGCGTACCGTAGCACACTCAGCGAGTATTCGAGAGGTCCAGGTTCGAGTTTTGAATAGGGCATTGCTCATTTTTCACGTCTCCACCATCAAAACAACCTAATGACTCCACACATGAAAGAGCTGTAAAAGATCTTAAATCACCTTATTTTCATTTTCCCATCTTCGTTGCGTTATTATACATTATTAAAAACAAACATTTTTATTATTTATATTAGAATAATACTTAAAACAAGATGAAATATTTCAGATGATCTATGAATGCACCTGTTACGTGTTCAATTTATAAAAAGTTAAACAAATTTGCTTTTATGCTATGAAATATTCTTGAGAGATAGATAAGAAATCGTATATAAATATATACAAATGAAAAACACATTTTCATGTAATTAAAGTGTTCCGTGACACTTTTAAGTGCATTTTTGTAGTACGTGCTTTATATACACTGGTGTGCAAAAATTAAGGACGAGACGGTTTTTTCAATATAACTTTGTACAAAAGCTTCCTAAATCAACACATTTAATACCGTAAGATCCCCAATACGTAAGGACATGAGTAATGTAAGCAACACTTACTAAAAGAGAAATCAGAATGATAAAAAGAAGCTTTATTGAAAAAATAGCATGGAGCGCAATGCGACTGAAGGCCGAAACATCCCTGTGATGGGTGTCCAGCAAGAAACATCCAGTCTTTAATAGAGGATATGGTCTCCCCTGACTGCTAGGCAGGTTTCACAGCGTCTGCCCATGCTGAGAATGAGGGTGTCAATGAGTTGTTGAGGCATTGCTGCCCATTCGTCTTGCAGCGCCAATCGAAGCTCCGGAATCGTTACTGGTGGTAAGGTACGAGCTGCCAAGTGTCTGCCTAGAAAATCCCATACATGCTCGATGGGATTGAGATCCGGAGATCGTGCCGGCCAATCCATACGTTCAATATCCTCACTCTCTAAGAGCTGTTCGGCAGCTACTGTGCGATGACATGGTCCATTGTCGTCCATGAAAAGGGAACTGCGGACCCATAGCGCCTCTAAAAAGACGCACATATGGAAGAAGAATCTCGTTACAATAACGGGTCCCGTTGACTGAACCTGCGTCGAAGATGTGAAGGTCTGTACGACTGCCAAGCATGATGCCTCCACAAACGAGAACACCGCCACCTTCATACCTGTCCCTTTTAATGATGTTCGAGGGATGATTGCGGCTTCCCCGCTCTCTCCAGATGAGTATGCGATGAGAATCGCTACTCGGACTGAATCTGCTCTCATCTGTAAAGAGTACTCGTCCCATTCATTGTCTCTCCAATTCCGGTGTTCCCGGCACCACAGAGAACGCCTTCTCCTATGGGCAGGCGTTAGAGGTACACACCGTACAGGGCGTCGTGCAAACAGACCACCACCGTGTAGTCTTCTGGCCACGGTAAAACGCGATATCGGTCGTCCAGTCGCCTGTGTTGTGTGTCTAGCGATTTCTCCCGCTGTCTGCCGCCTGTTTCTTCTGGCCTGTAAGGCAATATACCGGTTATCTGCGGGTGTGGTTCCTCGTGGACGACCACTACTAAACCCCCGGATAGCTGTTCCTGTAGTTTGAAATTGTCTCCAAAGTCGTGAAACGATGCTGTGAGCAATTCCGAACTCTGCAGCCACACTTGTCACACTGCGGCCTTCCTCCGACTTCCCAATGATTCGACCTCGGGTAAAAGCATCCAGATGTCGTCTAACAGATTGATTATTCGTCATTTCTTGCTGAGGCAGCAACTCGGTGTGATTTTAACTGCTATACGGCGTGCAATCTCTTTGCCAGAAATACTGATCTTACACCGACAACATGCTTTATACTACTCAGACACTCCCGCATTACGTCTACCTGCATATCTGCGCATGCTACCGTACATCACCTTACTTAATCTCCTGATTGGTCTTTCTGTCCGCTCTGCCTCTTCGTTCAGCTGATATGCTAATTTTTCGACTTCGTCTTTAATTTTTGCATACTAGTGTATTAAGCGAACGTATTGACAGTATCATTATTTAATTGTGCTATTGTGTGTTATAAACTTGTAATACGTGTATTCTTTTTGCAGAGCTTGTATATTCAAATTGTCTGCTAGAGGATTTGCGTGCAGAACGAAAACTAAGTGAAAAGTACTTGAGATTTCTATTCAATGAACATTTGACGGAACTGAATTTCGTAAACTTTAGCAACCGTTGCTTGAAAACCTTTAGGGATTATATTCCGGTTCCTAAGGTATAGTATATGTATGACAATGTAAATTTTGTAAATATTTGTATTTGTTTGTTAATAATGAGTATTATGTATTTGTTTTATATATTATTTAATATTTTAGATGCAATAAGGTAGTTATTCCAATGATGAACAGAAATTTACATCTTAATTTCTAAAGTTTTAACGGTACTATTCCGTTTTGAGGACCGTAAAAGAATTGCAACGGAAATGTATGCGCAAAAGCGCCAAAAAATCTAGCAAACGTGCCCATTTAACAGCCCGCCAAGTCTAGCGTAGGCGCCGATTTCAGATTGCATAAGTTTAGATAGTTCTATATTTCTTAAGACGCCATTGAAATACTAGTTTCATTTTTAAATCCTTTTTTTGATTTTAAACCCTTTTTTGATATCCTATGGATTTAACAATTCGGGAATTGCCCATGACGAAAAGTGTGTGCAATAGAATTTTGGGTAAAGTGCAGAATCACCCACTGCTTGACGCGTTTTTAACCCTTTGCACTCGAGCGGTGCCTGAGAGGCACCATTCCAATCGATGTGTTTATTTGTGTTTGACCTAAGGAATATCGCTTGAGAGATCTACTTGGCCTTTCGTAGATCATATTACGAGGTGTCTGGATAGCTATAAGGATGTCTTATCTCAAATAAAGGTTATCTTTGCAATGCTTATGCGATTAAATGTCTTATCTCAAAAATACTTGCGACCGCGGGTAGGACTCTGTCTTCTACATCAATTCGAACTCAACCTTCTTGCCGATCGCAGTATTTCTTTCAAAGTTACTGAGCCCAATAAGTATGGAACACGACGAAGAAGTTACTTCTAGCGAAGATGAGTTTAATTTTTCGGCAATAACGAACGAAATTACATCACTACATTAACAGCTTGCCCATGAGAATGAAGACGGAAGTGATAAAGGTAGCGACAACGTTAGAGGAGCAAGAAGACGAAAAATCCGAATAATCGATAGTGAATCTGGAACCCAAAGTGATTGTACAGAAGAGACTGAACCTTCAGGATGGACAGTGTGCACAGAAAAGCGCCTCGCGCGCAAAGGGTTAAGAATTGCATATACTCGGTGTCCATGTACACATCGACCTATTTTCACTTCAAAAAAAAAAAAAATCCCAGAATTGCACAAAAATGGCACTGCGCACACCCTTGACTTTATCTATGTACACATCGACCTATTTTCACTTAAAAAGTAAAAGAAAATTGACAAAAATCCAATTGTTTTTACCCTTGTAGAAAGCGGCAAACAAACAAGTGGGCGATTCTGCACTTTAAACCGCGAATTTTTTCAAAGAAAAGGCATCATTCATTATAGAAAATTCTGTTTGAACAACCAACGAGATGAAATTATGCTTTAGCGATAACTCGGTATCGAAATAGCGATGCAGGCATCCATTCAGTCATGTTTAGCCTTTTTTGTATTAATTATAATAATGATCTGAAATAGTTATTTACTCTTATGCTTCCATTCAGTTATGTTTAGCCGTTTTTATATAAATTATTATGATAAAAAAAAGTATTATATGAAATTAACATTTCATTTAATTTGAAACATCAATCTTAGATAATTATTTACTATTATACATCCTTTCTTGCGTTAGGGTTGCCGCAATTATTTTTGGCCACACTGGCATCAGCAATAGTTTGGCGATTTTTTACGGCCCTCAAAAACGAATAGTACCGTTTTAACTCTTTTTTTTTTTTTTTTTTTTTTTTTGGCTTAAACAGTGTGTATCAGTTCTAAAAGTATTGCATTTTAAAATTAACCTAACGAAATAAAACGTATTATAGAAAAGAATACAATGAATACTCTATGACTCATGATTTCCGATAATTTTGATTTTTCTGTGGACGTAAACATTTGTGAGAGATAGTGTTCATTTATTTTCTTATTAATACAAACCGTTTTGAGAAACAATTGCTTCAAAACAATCTACTGTAGTAATATTCCGCTGTACTATGAAGACATTATCTAGCGCATATTAGCATCGGATTATTCTATTTTATTTAAACTTTCTAATTGATTCTGATAAAATTTTACTTAATTTTAAAATAAATTTACTGGTAAACTAGAATACAGGGTGTATCAGTTACAGCGGTCACAAATTTTTAAGAAAGGTAGTGTACACCTAGACTGCGGGAAATCACATAGCAATGCCTGGTCGGAAATGCTTTCTCCTGGTGCGATAGTGACAGCAAAAAAGCAAAAAAGAAAGGACAGAAACAGTGAGACAAAACATGTTTCATTATGTGTAGTACAGCAAAAACCTACAAATAAGAACCAAAACAAACAACGATCGTCATTAAAGAAGGCGTTTGAAATTACGGCCCCGGACCGTAATGCATCAGGCCTAACTTGATGCATCAGGCGCATGGAAGATCTGCATCACGAATGGAAGATCGCATGGAAGATGCATCATTGTCTCTTTATGTTGCTTTTTCACTGTTTTTGTTCGAATAATAAACACGCTTTCTCACCCCCTTTCTTTCTTGACTTTTGTGTCGTCACTACCGCGCTAAGAAAGCATTTCCGACCCTGCATTCCTATGTGATTTCCCATCGTTTAAGTCTGTACTCTATCTCGCCTGAATGTTTGTCACCGCTGTACTGATACACCTTGTATATTACTGAACATATTACTATAAAATGCCTAATTAATTTGCTAATGTTTAGAAAGAAAAACAAATCATATAAAAATGCGCATTTAATTATTTACAGTTACCTAAAAGAAAACTGAATTTAATAATTCTATATGATCCGGTTACAGGCAAAAACATCGCGAACAAAAGCGTCGTGGAAAAAAGCAAAACAAAAACGAAAACGTCATCGTGCAAAACATCGTACGAAACTTCTCGGCTCAGGCAAACTCGATGAGTTTATCGCAAAAAGGGGCCCCGCTATCCCGGCATAGGAGATGTGCGATTTTCGAGTCTTTGAATGTCGAACAGTTGGAGAGAAAATTCGAATACACATAGAGTTCGTAACTAGCGAACCGATGAATGAGTCCAGAAGAAACTCCAGCAGCTGATATGCCTTAGGCGGAGATAAGTGTGCAATGGCATAAGTGAAAAGAAATTGCCTATCTGTACTCTGAATTGGAGTCCATGTGACCACTCAGCATAAATACATATATACATACATAAATACATAACATTCCCATAAGTAATTAAAAATACATTAAAAGAGAAAATACATAAATACATAAGAAGAGATATATACACTATATACAGACATTGTAGCAGGCGGCGAGTCAAATCAAAACACGAGAAAGGGAAGGTGTTTAATTAAGTATAATTTAAAGGTTGCATTAAACAAGGTACCTTAGTACCGCAAGCGGCCGTTTACTGTTTACATCAAGTGTATAATCATATTGAGGTACAGGTATGGAACTATTATTGACATTTGGAATATTGTAGAAGAATTTGTCAGCGAGGAGCGCAAAATAGTTTGAGATAGTTGGAACTTCCAACTCCTCATGTATGGCCGTATTTCTGATAAACCAACGGCTGCTGGTGACTTGTCTGAGCGTTACATTCTGCAAGACTTGCAGTTTATTTATATTTGTGCGGCTGGTATATCCCCAAACAGGGCAGGCATAAGAAAGTATGGGACGCAAAAGGGTTTTGTAAATGAGCAACTTATTATCAATAGAGAGAACGGAGTTCCGGCTAATTAAGGGGGTAAGTGTTCGTTTACGAGCACGGAACTTGGCAATAAGCTGTGTAATGTGTGGGGTCCAAGTGAGTCGCCTATCTAAGGTAATGCCTAGGTATCGGGCTTGCCTAGTCCATTGTAGAGGGGTGTTATACATCCGGATCGAGTCTTCCGAGTCTATTGTGACTCTTTTTGTGAACCAGATCGCCTCCGACTTGTCCACGTTGATCTTGAATTTCCAGGCTGTGAGCCAGGACTCGAGTGTGTGGATGTGAGCTTGGAGTGCTTGTATAACTGGACCAGGAGATGCATTTTTCGAGAGAATCGCCTTGTCGTCGGCGTACATAGCCAGGGTGGTGTGTGGTGATTGTGGGATATCGTTCGTGTAGATATTATAGTAGATGGGCTCAAGGAGGCTCCCTTGCGGGACCCCAGCCCTAGTAGCCCGTGAGGTTGAGTATGTGTTGTTTACACGAACGATAAAGTGTCTATCCTTAAGATAGGAGTAGGTGATGGCTGTGATGTAGTCTGAAACTTCTCAGACATGCGTTTTTCGGGATTTAAAAGCTGAAATGCATATTCGGGCAATGATTCGCGAGTGCAAAAAGCAGTAAGGTATATTTTTACTTTTATATTTTTGAATTAAGTAATAAATGTGTACCGAAAAATCAGGTAGAAAACTTGAGAATTCAGAAACTGAAAATAAGTAAAAAATTAATACTGCTTGCAGCATTTAACAGAATTTTATAATTTGGTAATTAATTAAACAATTTTAATAGAGGTAACCATCTTCCTTTTTCTAATCTTTTTTTACACTATAGGTTTTCATGAAACATTACCAATAAAACTTTGTGACAGACATTAATTAATGAACTTCATTTGTTAACTATATAAATTTAAAACTCTGTTAGCTGCTATACCTAGCGTTATTTTTCTATTCGTTTTCAGTTTTGGAATGTTTTCTGTCTCATTTTTTCTACAAAAATTTATTAGTTAATTCAAAAACATGAAATATAAAATTTAAAATATTCCTCATTCCTCCTTCCGCTCAGAAATCATAATGCGAATGTTTAAAGTCTGGAAACGCTTGTCTGCGATGTCGTCATCATTTGATGATTTGTCGGTGCATTATTTTTTAACAGAATATTTTTGACGACGATGCTTTTAAAACTGCGAAGTTTTTGAATTACTTTAATTTCGTCCATGATGTTTCCTGTTACGATGATTTAGAACTGCGATGTTTTCGCCATGCTTTCTTTTCTTCTCGACGTTCTCGTTCGCCATGTTTTTGATGCGATGTTTTCGGCGAACACCCAATTGCCGCGATGTTTTCAGTTCTG